CTGGTGTCTCAGCTCCATCATGTGGTGGAGCTTGGAATTGTTTGCTTTCTTTGAGAGGCAGGATCTGCTGATTAAACAGAAAAACAAGARGAATACAATGAGGACAAACCAGAAGAAAACATGGAATTCTAGCTGCTTCCTTTTATCCACTTTATTCCACAAACAGGTRAAACTGAAAATTTTGTAAACAGAAGTGTTAATATTTCCTTCCTGCCCCCATGGTTTCTGGATACACATATCCCATTTTAAAGATCCCTGATCTAGAGAAATTCTCATACATATGCCCTAAATGATCCAGACAACAATATTCATTGAGACAACTGTTTTTAATAGTGAAAAACTTGGAAGCAACTTAAATATCCATTAACAAGCAAATGGTTAATTTGTATTATTCATTCAATGACATATAATTTAATCAACAAATACATTAGAGTATGCAAAAATAATCGAATTGAGCCATCTCTATCACAATGGAAAAGTCTTAAAAAAACACTGATTATGGGGCTGGGGATGTGGCTCAGCGGTAGCGCGCTTGCCTGGCGTGCGTGCGGCCCGGGTTCGATCCTCAGCACCACATACCAATAAAGATGTTGTGTCCGCCGAGAACTAAAAAATAAATATTAAAAAAAAAAAAAAAAAAAACACTGATTAGGAAAAAGTTGTAGCATGATTCACAGTATTTAACATCATTTGAAAATATGATCATGATTTAAAACAAATACTATGTATTATTGAGGAATATGTAGATTATATAAAATAGTATGTGCATATGTAAGATAATCAAAACCACCAGTCAGGGCTGGGGATGTGGCTCAAGCGGTAGCGCGCTCCCCTGGCATGCGTGCGGCCTGGGTTCGATTCTCAGCACCACACACAGAGAAAGATGTTGTGTCCGCCGATAACTAAAAAAAAAAAAATATTAAAATTCTCTCTCACTCTCGCTTTAAAGAAAAAAAAAAAAAACCACCAGTCAGAAAAGGAGCAAATAGGAATTAAGGAGAATCTGAACTGAAGGTGGTAAAATGTGAAGCTTTTGACAAAACACGGTGTAATATAATATTTTAAAGACCTTTCTAGGTGTTTGCTTTATTATGTCATATTAAATTTTTCAATAAAATTGATTAGAAAAATACTGTACCTTCAAAAGATATAGGAAGAACATTAGAAGGAAATACAACAATTATTTTATGTCTACTCTATACCAGAATAAATCCAGTAGGGAATTGAGTGGTCTAGGATTATCTTCATAAATACTAAAATGGCCAAGACTTATTATAGACATATTGTTAGAATGACATTGATGCCAGGCATGGTGGCACACACCTGCAATCCCAGGCTAACCTCAGTAACTTATTGAAACTCTAAGCAACTTGACGGAAACCTGTCTCTAAATAAAAATGGGTGGGGATGTGGTTCAGTAGTTAAGTGCCTCTGAGTTCAATTCCTTGTAAACACCTGAGAGAGACAGAGAGAGAGAGAGAGAGAGAGAGAGAGAGAGCGAGAGAGAGAGAGAGAGAAAGAATATGGCCTCTGGAGGTTTGTAGATGGCAGCCATGATAGAGATGACAAGTTGGAGTTTTAGGGAGGAATGGAGGAAGGAACATCGAAAAAATAAAGGAAGACACTTCATGACAAGATTCAGTGGGAGGAAGAGTACAAAGGAAGCTTGGTCCTAAGGAAGGGCCATATTTCCTTTAGAACAAGAAAGAASAAGGGACAGTTCAGAGAAGAGGAMGAAGATATAAGAGGTATTGCTGATGACCAATCATGAGTTCCAGAGGGCTCTCAAGAATGTATAAATATGAATGGATTGATTTTTAAAAGTGAGGCTTAAAATGTAACCAATGTTTGCATAAGCCCTACATAAAATATGAAATGCTGCATAAATACAAGGCATCACTACTGCCTCTTTAACTGCCTTGATTGAGGAAATTTCATTCTGATTTCACTAAGTAATTTGCATTTTCTATATCAATAATATTCTTTCCTAGACTTAACTTTTCACCCTTATGGTTTCTCTTATATTTTGTATATATCTTTTCTAAAATCTGGGGAAAGCGAAGAGAAACTCTTCCCTTAGGTGAAATATAATCATACATAATCTCCTATTGCTATTATTATTTTTGGACAGAGTCTAGCTACGTTGCCTAGGCTGGCCTTGAACTCCTGAGCTCAAGTGACCCTTCATCCTCAGCCTTTAAATGCTGGGACTATAGGCATATGCCATCATGCTTGGCTAATCTATCATTTTGTCTGCTTTAAATATAAATTTAATCATGGCAGGAATTTTAGAGCTGGAAGAGAATTTGAAGGTAACACAATGTAAACTTCTCATTTTATAAATGACAGGAGATTATGTTTTGCCAGATTTAATCAATTGGTTCAATGCCTAAGCCTGTTCCTCCCTCACTCCAACTTCTGTTTTTCTTTGAATGGCAGAAACAACAGAAAGTACTCAATAGAGGTGCACTGTATGTCAGTAGTTGCATATAGACTCTAATGTTAGACTATCTGAGTTTAAATCTTAGATMTGCTATTATTAGCGTTGTAATCTTGGCCACATCATCTAACTGCTTGATGCCTGAGTTTCTTCATCTATAAAATGGAGGATGTAATAACCCTCACAGAGTTGTTATTAAATGAAATAATTTAAAGTATGTAACAGCGCTTGGCGCATAAAGAATGATCAGAGAGGCTGGGGATGTGGCTCAAGCGGTAGCCCGCTCGCCTGGCATGTGTGCGGCCTGGGTTCGATCCTCAGCACTACATACAGACAAAGATGTTGTGTCCGCCAAATACTAAAAAATAAATATTAAAATTCTCTCTCTCTCTCTCCCTCTTTCTAAAAAAAAAAAAGAATGATCAGAAATTTAGGCAATTGTTACTATTTAGCACACACTGAGCTAGCTGCTGATATAACAAAGAGGTCAGGGACTTTACCCACAACTATTTTTATTTGGTCTGCAGTTTAAGAAACAAATAAAAAAAACTCTGTTGAGATAATGTTTACAAATCAGAATAATTCATATAAAGTTCTGAATTTCCAGTTTATCTTGAAAATGAGAAGGTCTGACATATTTAGTCCAGAATTCTCAGGTAKTGACAACTATCTGGTAGTAATAAAGCAGCTACCCCCTTTACTCCATATTATTCACATGACATTTCCATCTTTACCTGCTTGTTTACTACTTGATTTTGAATTTGTTTTCCTGACTAAGACTGCTCTCAAGGAACTCAGAATCCAATATATGTTTGCTAAACAATTCACAATACAGTGTGATAGAAAMAAATACAAAGTTGCCAACTGTAAAGCACAACAATACCCTGTTGGCACACATGGTGGTGTGTACTGTTAAGAAAATGTGCTGAAAAGAAAAGGAGGGGAGCAGGCTTGCAGAGGAATAGAAGGTGAAAAGATACTGAAATAGGAAACAACTTACGTGTTTAGCAACTACAAAAAGTTCAGTTTTGGTGACTATAGTGAGAAGGGAAGAAGTAGGTTGACTTTAAATAAGGAGGGTCCCTTATTCTCTGTAGGAGATGGGTAGCTCTTTGAAATGTTTTCTGAAATATTTCATTAATTACAAACTGACTTTAATAAAATTATGACTGAATGTTCTTTTTTTTWAAAAAGCTTCTTTCCCCTTAGTTGTGGACGGACACAATACCTTTAATTAATTAATTTTTATATAGTAGCTRAACATCCAACCCAGTGCCTCACATGTGCTAGGCAAGTGCTCTACCACTGAGCTACAACCCCAGTCCTAACTGGATGTCATCAAATGTCTTTGGGTCTCATGTTTGAGAAAGAAATGCTAAACAATGTACAATATTCTATTAAATAGCTTTCAGTAGCAAATTATCCATCTTCATAACTGATAATGTAGTTTTAAGATTTGTCTGCAATTGAACATTCCTTAGCTGTAAAATGGGGATAATAATGGCACCTGAATCAAGGGTTATTAAATGGAGAACTGAACCACATAATTCATGTAATGAGCTTACCAAGATTTCGGACACAGGGAAAATTTGATTAATAATGAGGGTAATATGAGTTATAATGATCACGATACTTTCTGAATCTTCCTCGTGTATGTAACCTATCTTGGAGAAAATACCTCATTTAATCAAATGTATTTTTCATTGAAAACTAAAGTTGAATCAAGACTGGTGGTATCTTCTGGACACATTTGGTAAAAAAAATAAAACGCAAAAAATACTAGATTGAAAATGCCGAGATAATACTTCCTTCCCCTCTATATATTTTTAAAAATATTTTATTTTATTTAGTTATTGGCGGACACAACATCTTTGTTTGTATGTGGTGCTGAGGCTCGAACCCGGCCGCACGC